TCGACATGTTTTCTGAAATAAAATAGCAAATTTTAGGAGGAAATGCATGAGGATTATGTGTATCGGAAGGGATTAAGCGATATTTGGCGGGAATAGCAAAATTTTTACGTTATATAGTGGAAAGAGAGTCCATATGAAGTACAGGAGATGATAAATAAGGGATTATCTGATTTTAGAAGCGAAGTCTTCTAAAAATAGGGGAAAATACAGTTTTTGATAGCAAAAAATGGTGAAAATCGGGTGAAAATCAATTTTTCCAACTTTTACAGCTTGGAATGTTGAAAAACTATGTATTTGTTCAGGTGCCGAGGTTTGAACAAAGAAATTTTTGCTGCGGGGCCCGGGCCTTGAAATTTTCCTCAGGCCCGGCCCGGCCTGGATTCCGGGCTCGGGCTCTGGCGGGCCGGCCCGGAATTTTACAAGTATGGAGATATTGCTTTGAAATAGTCGGAACTAATATTGATCGGAAATTTTGGAAATTTTCAGAAAAATGAGATTTCCAGTTGAAAATGACTAGTTTTGAGCTGAAAATCTCAAAATCGAGCAATATAAGTGAAAAGATAGTTGCAAGATGTTTGGATCTTTGGTTCAAATCAGTCGATCCCAGCACTTCTCTATATATTTCGCTGTGTATAACAGCTCTAGCTTCGGTTCGAAATGACAAAATTTTTGCTATCGGGCCTTCCGGGCCGGGCCCGAAATTTTACAAGTATGCAAAATTTCCCTTACCATCATCCTCATCATCGAGCCCGTTGAAGTCAGCACCACCGCCGGCTCCTCCCAACGAGGACATGTACTGATTCAGGTCGAATCCGTTTCCAAGTCCACCTCCAACTCCAGCAGCAGCCTCGTCGACCTCCTCATCCTCATCCTCGTCCTTCCACTTTCCAAAATCAACCTTCAACCAGTGAACCTTTCCCTTGGTGGCAAGAAGACGTGGCCACCATTTTGGAGTCTTCTTTTGAATGGTGATCTCGACGACACGGGTGGAGGATCCAGTGTGCTTCACGGAGGCTCCATCGATCTCGTCGAAGAACTCGAGTGTGGTCTCGTACTTGTCAGTCTTGCTGCTTCCTCTGAAAAATTCAAGTTTTTAGCTAATTTATACCAAATTAAGCAATGTTTTCCTAGAAATTATAGTTTTTAGCTCTAAAAATGCTCCAAAACTCACTGGAAAAACAGTTTATTTCCCTCTCCCTCGAGCTTCTCAATCTTGGCATCATCGACCTCGATGGTGATGAAGAGGAGGGATTCGCGTTGGGCCCAGAGAACTTGTGGCTGCTTCGACATGTTTTCTGAAATAAAATAGCAAATTTTAGGAGGAAATGCATGAGGATTATGTGTATCGGAAGGGATTAAGCGATATTTGGCGGGAATAGCAAAATTTTTACGTTATATAGTGGAAAGAGAGTCCATATGAAGTACAGGAGATGATAAATAAGGGATTATCTGATTTTAGAAGCGAAGTCTTCTAAAAATAGGGGAAAATACAGTTTTTGATAGCAAAAAATGGTGAAAATCGGGTGAAAATCAATTTTTTCAACTTTTACAGCTTGGAATGTTGAAAAACTATGTATTTGTTCAGGTGCCGAGGTTTGAACAAAGAATGCACAAAAGGTTAAAAAATCGCATTTTTTTCTGAAATTTTCGAGAAAACAGTGCTTTTTAGGTGTTCAGCAAGCATTTCTATGTGTTTTAAGGAGGCAAAATGACTCAGAAAATATTTTTTTCCGCGAAAAAAATATAGGAAATTCTTTTTTTTTTTCCAAAATTTCATTATTTTTCCAGCTAAAATCCTACTTTTTTCATTTTTATTGGTTTCTTAAAACGATTTCCAGCTAGTTTTTGCAGAATTTTTTCTCTTTTTCAACAGAAAATTTGTGTCATCAATTTCCTAATCGAAAAATCGGATTTTCAATCGCAAATCGATGAAATATACATTCTAAACATGCTAAAAACGGATTTTTGATGCAAAATTGGGGTTTTTCGACGATTTTCACCCCTAAAATCACCATGGAAACGCGGAAAACACGATTAAAAATGCAGACAAAGATTTCAAATTCGAGAGCGTTCTCCGTTTTCGTGGCGAGACCCATCCCGGAAAGTGCGTGCGCCTTTAAACGAGCCACGCGTTCCGGGTGCATTTTCCGGCGATTTTTAGCTCAAAAAAGCTCAAAAAATCGGAATTTCAATGTTAAAATCGACGAAAATGATGTTAAAACCCGTAATTTTCATGTTAAAATTGCCTAGAACCCCTCAGAATTGGAAAATAGAGCTCTGGAATTTTTTGAAAATTTTTTAAATTTTTTAAAAACTCCAAAAATATATAAATTTCCAGATGTTCAGTCTCGCATGGGTGTCCAGGTCGTTAAACCATCCACAAGGCAAGCGAGGGCTGCTCTCAACGCTGGTATGCCTCATCTGTGTGGGGATTTTGGCGTTTTGCGTCTCCACAAGCCATTCTATAGGTATTTTAACCCTAAAATAACCGACATTTTGGGATTTTTCAGTTATAATGAGTGCAATGTGGATTACAATCTTTGCATTTTGCTCTCAGTTCGCCTCGCTTTACTCCATGTCGATCACTGATAAGCCAACGCATAAATTCAGCTATGGGCTCGCGAGGGTCCCGGTTTTGGCCGTTTTCAGTACTACTGTAGGTAAAAAAGACTGGGAAATTTGAATTTTGGGGGGTTTTCAGACGCTAGCCCAGCTGTTTTCCATCTTTTTGTCGAAAGAGTCGTTCGAGCACTTGCTATCGCCGGACCATCATGGATCGCATGACGCATCGGCCGCTCATGAGCATGAGGTGGAGGAAATTGGTGGGTTTTTAGTTAAAAAAAAACGCTAAAAATAGTGAAAATTCAGTCTAGAATATGAAATTTGAGCTCGGAAAATAGAAAAATCGCTCATTTTTATTCTGAAACCATCAATTTTGAACCTGAAAATAGCTGAATTTTAGCTAAAAATTCTTATTTTAAGATAATTTTTGGACATTTTGAACTTAAAATTAGCAAAAATTCAGCGAAAATGATCAAGTCTGCACCTCAAATTAACGATTTTTAGCTGAAAAAACCCTATTTTGAGGCGATTTCTGAACCTAAAATCGTTGAAAATAGCAGCTCTCGAGCTAAACTTCGCTATTTTGAGTTATAAAATAGCTGAAAAATCACCAAAAAGTTCGATTTCGAGCCAAAATAGCCGATTTTCAGCTGAAAAATCGGAAAATAGCCCATTTTTGCTTTTAAAAGCTCATTTTGAGCTGATTTTCGTTTTAAATTTTTTTTTTCGTTAAAAATTGTGATTTTTGTGTCAAAATTTACTTTTTAAGCTCCAAATAGTCTCAAAAATCGCATAAAAGTAATGAAAATTACCAATTTCTAGCTGAAAAAATCGAAAAATAGTTGGTTTTTAGCTCTAAAATCTCATTTCGAGATGATTTGTGTGCTAATAATTGAGTTTTCGGCATATTTTTGAACTAGTAATAGCTATTTTCGAGCAAAAATTACCGATTTTTAGCTTTCAAAATCTAAAAATAGTTGGTTTTCAGCTCTAAAATCTCATTTTAAGCTGATTTTGGTGCTTTAAATCGTTATTTTTGTTCCGAAAATTGAATTTTCCCACTTTTAGAACCTAAAATTATCGATTTCCAAGCTAAAAATCCGAATTTCCAGGTGGAGGATGGCCTTATTTCGTTGGCTCCGCCGCCACCTCCGTTGCCCTCCTGCTCTCCGCCTACGCTCTCAAAAATCAGCCCTTCCAACATGTTCTCACCTCGGCGACGGCTTCAAGTCTTCAGGAGCACGCCGCCGATTTGTCCCATGCCGTCTGTTTTGTGATTCCTGGACTCTCTCGGCTCCTACTGCCACGTATCAACTCGATGGTACTGTTGGCGGCGACGACGAGTGGACTTTTGATGCTTTGCGAGCATTTTAAGTGAGTTTTAAGCTTGAAAATGGGGGAATTTGAGGCCGAAAATGTTGAAAAAGTGGTATTTCGAGAGCCAAAAACCCTGGTTTCATCAATATCTAGCTGGAAGAACCTTTAAAAACTCTGAAAATGACTCAAAAACCTCGATTGTCCATCATTTTCCTACTAAATAAATGGCTCAAAAAGATCTTTTTCCATTATCTTCTAGCTAAAAAAGCTATAAAATGGCTTTGAAAGGTCCAAAATGGTCCAAAACGGCCAAAAATAGTTTTTTTTTTTCTGCTAAAACGGATCATTTTTAGCCTAAAAGTCACAATTTTCCAGCTAAAAAACTCATTTTCAGTCGAAAATTTCTTCAATTTTCCAGCTACAAAGATCATTTTCAGCCTAAAAACCTGCATTTTTCATCATTTCCTAACTGAAAAAAGCTATAAAATGGTCTAAAAAAAACCAAAAATAGCTTTTCCCAGCTGAAAAATATCATTTTTAGCCTAAAAACTGCTCCAATTTTCAAGCTAAAACAGTTGTTTTCAGCTTAAAAACCTCTATTTTTCTAATATTTCCAAGCTGAAAAAGTTCATTTTCAACCGGAAAAAACCCGATTTTCCAGCTAAAAAACTCATTTTCAGCCTAAAAACCTGCATTTTTCGTCATTTCCTAGCTAAAAAAAGCTGTAAAATGGCTCAAAGAGGTCTTAAATGGTCCGAAAAGGCCAAAAAGTAGCGTTTTCTGCTGAAACATATCATTTTTAGCCTAAAAATAACTTTTTTTTTCAGCTGAAAAAGCCATGAAAATAGTCGAAAACAGATTAAAAATGACTAAAAACCTCGATTTTTCATCAATTTTCCAGCTAAAAAGCCATTTTCAGCCGAAAAAGCTATAGAAATGGCTCTGAAGGGTCCGAAATGGTCCAAAACGGCCAAAACTAACTTTTGTCTGCTGATAAACTCAATTTAAGCCAAAAAATCGTTCCAATTTTTCAGCTAACAAGCCATTTTCAGTCGAAAACTTCTTCATTTTTCCAATCTGAAAAAGTCCATTTTCAGCCTAAAAACCTGCGTTTTTCATCATTTTCAAGCTGAAAAAGTCCATTTTTGGCTTAAAAACCCAATTTTCCACCCAAAAATGCCATTTTCAGCCTGAAATTGCTAGAATTTTCCAGCTAAGAAACTTATTTTCAGCCGAAAATATCTCCGATTTTCGAGCTAAAAAGGATTTTTGGCCTGAAAATCCCTATTTTTCGCTATTTTTCAGCTGAATAAGGTCATTTTCAGCCAGGAAATCCCAATTTTTCAGCTAAAAAGTCAATTTTCAGTCACGAAATCCCGATTTTCCCACTATTTTTCAGCTAAAAACTACAAAAAAATGGCTGAAAATTGTCCCAAAACCCTAAAATCCCCTATTTTCAGACACGATTTCGCGTGGGCGGACCCTGTGTGCTGTCTGATTCTCTCGGTTGCCGTGTTCTCTACAATGTGGCCCCTATCCACTTATACTGGAATGATACTGCTCCAAACGACGCCCCCGCACTTGATTAATCAAATTGATCGGTTCGTTTTATTGATTTTTTGGGTATTCGAAGCTGAAAATTGGATTCTGGGGCTCAAAAACTAATAAAAACGCTGAAAAATTCGATTTTTAGCCCAAGAATTGATGAAAAACCCTAAATTTCCACTCAAAATAGTGGATGTTTGCCCTTTTTGGACTCCAAAAATGCCGATTTTTGTCTCAAAAATCCCCAAAATTATGGATTTTTGAGCTTTATAAGCTTTGAAAAAGCTGGCAAAACGTCGAAAATTGCGATTTTTGAACCCAAAATTGCTGAAAAACCCTAAATTTCCACTCAAAATAGTGAATTTTTGCGGTTTTTGGCCTTCAAAAATGCCCATGTTGTCTGAAAAATCCCTGAAATTATGACTTTTTAAGTCTCAAAATCTATTGTAAAGCTAAAAATGCATATTTTTAGCGTTTAAAAAATTCCAGATGCCTATCCGAAGCGTCCCATATCGATGGAGTACTCGAGCTGAAGAGTGGAAGGTTTTGGCAGTTGGATTTTAATCAATTGGTGAGGGTTTTATAGCTGAAGTGGAAATTTCTAATTTTTGAGCCAAAAAATCGAGTAATTTTGATCTGAAAAAGTAGAAAAATGGTGAAAATCGACAAATTATCAATAGAGCGCATTTGCATTTTTTGCTAAAAAATACCCGTTTTTGCTTCCAAAGCTTAATTAAACCTAATTTGACGCTTAAAAACCAGATTTTCATGTCCAAATATCGCATTTTCACCGTTTTTGAGCAAATTATCAATAGAGCGCATTTGCATTTTTTGCTTACAAATGCCTGTTTTTGCTTCCAAAGCCTGAGCAATCCTCATTTGAAGCCGAAAAACCATATTTTCAAGTTCAAATATTGCATTTTCGCTCCATTGAGACTGAATTTTTAGCAAATTATCAATAGAGCGCATTTGCATTGCTTGCTTAAAATGCTCATTTTTGCCTCTAACACATAATTTTAAACATTAAAAAATCTCAAAAATTGAAAATTTGAGAAATCTGAAAACCTGAAAATCTGAAATGTGACTTTTCAGGTGGGTACTGTAGACGTGCGTGTCCGTCGTGAAGCCGATGAGCAGAATGTGCTTGCTCATGTCACAGAGAAGCTGTCGTCAGTAATTACGGTACTTACCGTACAAGTGGTCAAGGATGCGGCATGGTCGGCAGGAGAAGTACAGTACTCCAATGGACACGTTCATAACGGAGGAGGTCATGGTCATAGTCATGGGGCAGGAGCGGAGGATCATGGGCACTCTCATGGGGGACAACAGGACCATGGACACAGTCATGGGGGAGATCATGGGCATAGCCATGATCATGGATCTCATGGGCACAGTCATGGAGGAGGAGAAGGAAGCCATGGACACACTCATGATGGTGTCGTTTATCATTAAATTTAGGATCTTTTTTTTTTGTGATTTTCTGGTTTTTTTTTTTGAATTTTTGGGGTGATTTTGGGGGATTTTAGAGTGAAAAATTCGAGAAAAATCGTTTGAAAATGGCTGAAAATGATCTTACAAGCATGAAAATTGGCCTAAAAATGTCTCGAAAATTTTGGTTTTTTTTTGGAATTTTGTGTTGATTTTTGTGTATTTTAGTGATCAAAATTAACTGAAAGAAGTCCAAAATAGCCTGAAAATGACTCTTTTTTTATCCAAAAAATTTGATTTTTTTTTGAAATTTTGAGACGTTTTTTTGTGGATTTCAGAGGTAAAAATAGGTATTTTCAGCCTAAAAACTGGCTTAAAATAGTCCAAAATGGGCTGGAAACGGCTCAACTCTACTGAAAATCGTCTGAAAATCACTCAAAAATTCAATTTTTATGTAAATTAACCGTTTTCAGCCAAAATTTGCGATTTTCTGACTGAAAAAATCGATTTTTTTGCTTTTTTTTTTTCCTAAAGATGCCCCAAAGTGACCTAAAAATCGACCTTTTCGCATTTTTCGCTATTAAAAATTTCCGTTTTTCAGCCAAAAATTCGATATTTTGGTATTTTTTTCGAAAAATTCTTCAATTTTCAGCAAAAAAAATCACCTGAAAATGGCAAAAAATTCGATTTTTTCAATTTTTTGTTCTGAAAATTCCGATTTTTTGCATGTTTTTCCCCTGAATATGCCCCAAAAATGACCTAAAAATCGATTTTTTGCTTTTTTTTTCTCTAATTCTCTTGTTTTCTGTACATATCCGGTCCGTCCCACAGTACATTGAAATGTATGTAATTTATTGATTTTTTCCGCCTGTTTTTTCCCTTTTTTTCTAGCTGTGATTTCACTTTTTTCCATTGATTTCCCAAAGATTTCTCTCGATTTTTAATTTATTTTTTTGATTTTTTTTGAATCTATACATGACTTTTTTCAAGAAAAATCCCCAAAAAATTGGCTTAAAACGACCTAAAAATGGCTGAAACCATGAATGTTTTTGAGGTCAAAAATCGATTTTTCGATTTATTTTCGAATTTTTTTGAATTTCCCGCCAAATCCAGATCCAAAAAAAAAATGTTCCGAGTCATCGTTCGCCACGCCCATCAGCAATCGGCTGCTCGTCAGGCGTTGATCGAGAAAATCATTCGAGTCGATCATGCTGGAGAACTGGGAGCTGATAGGATCTATGCAGGACAGCTGGCAGTGCTGCAAGGTGCTGAAAATACTGAAAATCACTGAAAAATTGAGACAAATCGACCCAAAAATGCTGAAAATCGATAAAAAATCCGAAAAAAGACCTAAAAATCTAGAAAAATCGACCGAAAAATGTTGAAAATCGGGTTTTTTAGCCCAAAAAGATTGGTGGCCTAACTTTTTTAGTTTTCTAGGCCATGGCCGAGTTTTTTTGAAATTCTAGGCCACCAATTTTTTTCCAATTTTTAGAAAAAAAAATTCTGAAAATTTTGAATTTTTTTGGAAGAAAAATTTCTTTTCGAAATTTTTTTTAGCGAAAATTCAAAATTCCCATGGCCTAGAAAACTTCCTCTTCCAGGCAGTTCGGTCGGCTCGGTGATCCGAAAAATGTGGGACGAGGAGAAGGAGCATTTGGATACGATGGAACGTCTGGCGGCGAAGCATAACGTGCCGCATACCATATTCTCGCCGGTTTTCAGTGTTGCCGCCTATGCTCTTGGTGATTATTGATTTTTTGATTTTTTGAATCGATTTTTGACCCGAAAAACCAAAAAAATCGAGGAATTTTGACCTAGGAACGTTAAAAAATGGTGAAAATCGACAAATTATCAATGGAGCGCACTTGCATTTTTTTTTCTTAAAAATGCCCGGTTTTGCCTCTAAACATGATTTTAAACCAAAAACCATATTTTCCATTCCAAATATCGCATTTTCGCTCCATTGAACCTGAATTTTGAGCAGATTATCAATAGAGCGCACTTGTAAATTTTTTGCTTGAAAATACATTTTTGGCGCTAAATTCGATTTTGAATCGTTTTTGAGCATAAAATACAGAACATACGGCATTTTATATCCTAAGAATTCAATTTCGCTCCATTTTTAGGCAAATTATCAATAGAGCGCACTTGCATTTTTCTCTAAAAATGCTCATTTTTGCCTCACAAACAAGATTTGACGCCTAAAACCGTATTTTGGGGGTCGAAAGATGCATTTGCGCTCCATTTAGACAAAAATTAGAGATTTTGTCAATAGAGCGCACTTGCAATTTTTCCTCAAGAATGCAATTTTAGTGCTAAATTCGATTTTGAATAGTTTTTCAGCATAAAATACCTATTTTCAAGTCCAAATATCGCATTTTCACCGTTTTTGAGAAAATTATCAATAGAGCGCATTTGCAACTTTTGCTAAAAAATACCCGTTTTTGCTTCCAAAGCCCTTCGAAAACAAATTAGACGCCTAAAACCATTTTCTCAGTCCAATTATCGCATTTTCTCCGTTTTTGAGCGAATTATCAATAGAGCGCACTTGCAATTTTTGTCTTAAAATGCTCATTTTTGCTTTCAAAACCCTCTCAAATCTAATTTGGCGCCTAAAAACGATATTTTCCTAGTTCAAATATCGCATTTCCTCCATTTTTGAGCGAATTTTCAATAGAGCGCACTTGCATTTTTTTGCTCAAAAATGCGTATTTTTGCCTTTAATACATTATTTAAACCCGAAAATGCATATTTCAAAGCCCAAGTATCGCATTTTCGCCGTTTTTTAGCAGATTATCAATAGAGCGCACTTGCGTTTTTTCGCCTAAAAATGCTCAATTTTGCTTTCAAAGCCCTTCTAAACTATATTTGACGCTTAAAAACTAATTTTGGATGTCGAAAAATGCATTTTTGAGCAAATTGTCAATAGAGCGCATTTGCATTTTTTCCGCAAAATTCAAATTTCCAGGCGTCGGCTCGGCTCTTTTGGGAAAAGAAGGAGCAATGGCGTGTACGATTGCAGTTGAGGAGCTGATTGGACAACATTACAATGATCAGTTGAAAGGTACAGTAATCCAGTGAAACTACAGTAATCCAAGAAGTTACAGTAACCCAAAGTTGAAGTTTTGTAACTCAAAAGATAGATGGTTACAGTACCCCTAGCAGACTACAGTACCCCTACAGTACCCCTACAGTATTCCTAGAAAACTACAGTAACCCTATAGGAGTACAGTAGTCCTTTGGGGATGCTACAGTAATCCAAAATTCACCCCTGGCGATCCTAGATAACTACAGTAACCCAAGCAAACCCCTTTTGTGGTGCTACAGTCACCCGGGAAAAAAGCTACAGTAACCCAGAGAGCTACAGTAACCCTATAGGATTACAGTAATCTATTGGTGATGCTACAGTAATCTATAAAAAATGTATCTTTAGTAATCCTAGATGGCTACAGTAATCCTAGCCAACTACAGTTTCCCAAAATTCTTCCAGAACTCCTCGCCGACGATCCAGAAGCCCATAAGGACCTTCTGAAGATTTTGACACGTCTTCGAGATGAAGAATTGCATCATCATGACACCGGCATCGAGCACGACGGTTTGAAAGTGCGCTCCATTGAGAATTTTTGAAAATTGGGCTTTTTTGGCGCCAAATTTGAAATTTTTGAAAAATTCAAATTTTCAGGCTCCCGCCTACTCGGCACTCAAATGGATCATTCAAACTGGATGCAAGGGTGCCATTGCGATTGCTGAGAAAGTTTAATTTTTTTCGATTTTTTGAATTTTTCAAATTTCCCGCCCTTTGTATGTATTAGAATATAGTTATTCAACATAATAAAGATTTTGAAGCTTTTTTGTTATTTAACGAAAAAAAAAAATATTCAAAATTCCGGCTAGAACTCGAAAAAACAAGGAATTTCGAGATTTTCTCAATAGAGCAGGTTTGCAATTTTTTGAAATTTTGAAATTTAAAATTCCCTCGCTCACCCCTCGGCGAACGTGGCCGCCACCGTTTTCCGCGCGATTGGCTACCTCCTTTCACCCTGTTACTCCAGTGACGTCTTTAGCGTAAAGGATAGTGTTTTTGCCCACCAATCTATAGGTCGCGGGTTCGACCCCACCTGGTGTAAAACTCTTTTTGCTTCTTTTTGAAGATATTCTAGATGGTTTTGTGGGGGTTTCCTTTTGAAATACATCAGAATTCAATTAAAGCCTTATTTTTAGGAAACGTTTAGTTTTTATTTTGAAAAAAATAAAGTTTAAAAAAGCTAACAAGGGAAGGTTTTTCAGACAACGATTGAAAATTTGCCCAAAATTTGTACAAATGTACTTTCGAACATGCTGAATCCGAATCCAAAAAAATTTTTAGCCCGTTCTCAAAAGGAGCCGAAATATGGCCTCTGAATGTGCTTTCAGTACTGAATTTTGACCAAAAACATGCATTTTTCGAGGTTAAAAATTAGGTTTACAGGGTTTTTTTCGAGTGCAAAACTAATTTTTGAACATTTTTCTACCTTCTGAAACAATTTTTAAACATTTTCAAAAAAAAAATTTTTTTTTGAAAACTTTTGAAAAAATCACCATGGGGTCCCCCACATGGCAAAAGTGATTTTTTGAACATTTTTTTGGGCTCAAAAAATTTCCAAAATCTGATTGTTGTTAGAACTTTGACAGTTCCTAATTTCTGAAATATCGCTTGAACTTAACTGAAACCTATAGAAATAGGTTCAATTCTTGTATGTGATCGATTTGACAGTACTCCACCTCAAAAAGAGCAAAATTGATCAGTTTTCAGAGGCTGAAGCTTTCGTTTTTAACGATAGGATGATGTAATGCCCGGTTAAAAAGACTATTTTCTAACTTTTCATCAAACTCTCATGAATTTTTTTTTGAAAACTTTTGAAATTAATCAAAAATTGTCATATAGTGCCTAGGGGGGCAAACTTGGAATCAAAAATTAGTTTCAAAAAAAGCAAAAAAAAAGTTTCACCCCAGTGGGGTTCGAACCAGCATAGTCAATCCTAATGAGTCACCCTCTTACCACAACACCACACAACCGATCTTTTCTTCTCCAGCGGAATTGGTAGAGAAGGAAGCCGAGATCGGCTGCGTGGAAAAATCGGCCCAAACTTTCAGACAAAGTTTTTCGGCCTGGGAGTGAGAACGAGCTAAAAATTTTGTCGTCATCGTATAGAGCATGTCTTAAACTATAAGTATGCAAATTTTTTTAAATTTTGGGCAAATTCTCAACCGTCGTCTGAAAAACCTTCCCTTGTAAGACCTATCAAAATTGTTTAAAAACAGTGATACAAGAAAAACGGTTAAATGTGTGTTTTCTAATGTTTTCTCAATCAAGCGAGTTTGCAATTTTTGGAAATATTGAATTTTCAAAATTTCCCTCGCTCCCCCTCGGCGCCCGTCTCCACCACCGTTTTCCGCGCGATTGGCTTCATCTTTTCACCCTTTCACTCCAGTCTCACCTTTAGTGTAATGGCTAGTTGTTTTGCCCACTAATCTAGAGGTCGTGGGTTCGACTCCACCTGGGGTAAAACTCTTTTTGCTTCTTTTTAAAGATATTCTAGGTAGTTTTTAGCTAGTTTTCTGGTATATTTCGTTGCGAAAATTCAGAATTCTGCACAATTAAATGGGAACAAAGGTCTTCAGCGAAGCTTTATCGATTTTTGTCATTTTTTGGCAAAAATTGGTTTTTCGGCGAAAAACACACATTTTTAACAGAAAACCGGAAAAAATATCACTAATTTCGCTAAAAATTGATATTAAAAATATTTTTTCCAAATTTTCGAATTTTAGCGGCGCGCAAGCGCGCTCCGCTGAACAAACTAGTTTTAAGGTCCCCAAGCCTTCGTTTAAAACAGAAATCTTACTAAAAAACGTTTTGCAGGGAAAACAACAACTTTTTGGTTTGAAAAAAGCCTTTTTAGAAAAACCGGAAAACTTTTTTTTCGGGAAGCTTCTCCAGTGTCCAGTTTTGAAAAGAGGACCATTTAGAGAGGGTCAGAAAAGTGGTAAACACGGCGATGAACAAAAAAGTGTCGGACGTTTTTTGTGGAGGGGGGGAGAAGAGTGGACAATAGAGAACAAAGAAAAACTTGATGGTCCCCCTCTTTTTTTTTTGCGGAAAAAAGAGCAAAAGAGAGAGAAATGGGCATTTCGGATGGTCAGTTGTTTGTTAGGGCGACAAAGTTTTTTCTCCTTTTTGGGAAAATCATCGAAAAATAATTTTTTCGAAAAAAAATTTTTTTTTGAATTTCGAATTTTCAATTTTTTCCCCATTATCAATGTTAAAAACAACGAATTTTCTATTTAAAAAACCATGAATACTAGCTGAAAATCCCGATAAATCGCCCCAAAAAGATCGCCGAAGAGACGCAGAGAGGCGAGAGGGCTCTCGCTTCTCTGCGTCTCCTCGTCTTTTAAAAGGCTCATATCTCAAAAACTAAAAGAGTTATCAAAAAGTTATCAACTACAAAAATGATTGGCATAAAATTTTACACACTTTGATAGTTGACAAATTTTTTCTAGCTTTTTTAGTTTTTGAGATAAAGGACGTTGAAAATTAGACTCTGACATTTCTAGAAATTAGTTTTTCGAATTCCCGCCAAACCTCAAATTTGAAACTTTGAATAATTTTCTGATGTCATATTTTTTGACAACTTTTCTAATGATATTCAGGTGATTTCCAGGCAATTTTCATTGAAAAATACGTTTTTCCGAATTTTTCAGTTTTTCCGAAAAAAATTTTTTTTTTTGGAATTTTCTGTGATTTTAATGATAAAAACTAAAATTTTTCATTAAAATAAGAAAAAAAAGCAGCAAAAAATCCTTTAAAATCGCAAAAAAAAGCAAAAAAGGAGACGCAGAGAAGTCCGGGTACCCGCCCTGCTGAATATCTAGAAATACATCCGAGACTACGGTTACGGTGTCTTTTCTCGTCCAAGCTGATTGAAGACTGTGGACGACATCTGGTGGATGACGACGTCTTCATTCTGCAAAAAAATTGGGATTTTTTGGGAGAAAATAGAGCGAAAATGAGCGATAATGAAGGAATTGGCAATAGAGCGAATTTGCAACATCGAAATTTTTGAAATTTGTTTTTTTTTCCTTCTCTCTCCATCACCCCCTTTTCAGCCACGAAAAGCGCGCGATAGACTACCAC